TCAATCGATAAAACAAGTTGCATGATCGTAATAAGGTTTTTAATAAGCATTATAAGTTGTTGGTTGTTAAACTGAATTAAAATAAAAGATTTCTAATTTTAAAGACAAATGAATACATTGAGTGTTAACATATCCCAGGATTTCATAAACTAAATTATATTACATTAACAAGGATTGTATTTATAATCCTTGTTTGGACTAATAAATCATGCATATAATTCATTGCGAGCAATAACCACCTGGTTGTGAAGGAACATAAACTTGACTATTAGTTGATTATTCATTTTTTGTTCAAAATGTTTAAAAATTTACTAATAATTTATTTTCTACCATTTTCCAAATTCTGAATCCTTATGTGAATGCCGTGATCTCCAGCTACGTATCTGACGGATCTATCACAGGTCTACCTTTTTCTTCCTTTTGTGTCTTAGGGCCGGTCCGGTAATCATTTTCAATCTCATTTAATGTCATTTAATTCAATATCTCATTAAAATTTTTTATCTTGAAACGATATCATTGGTTTGATTGAGGAAAAATGTTACCTTTGTCATGCTCATATAGTTTAAAGTGTCCGGTGAACATCTCTTTATAATTTTTAATTGAGATTGAAATGATTACCGGACCGGCCCTTACTTTGTACCTTTGTGATATTCACACAATTAAAGCCTCAAGGAAACAACCAATCGTACTGATAACTGAATCAAATGCGTTTGTATTTTGTGGTTTTTTTATACCATTATATTCTTGGCAAACTGATTTTATGGTTGTAAGTCATTATCATTTTCATTGTCATAAGCACAAGAAAGTTCGATTTCAGCCTCTGACCTATTTTCACCCAAAAATTTCATATATTATATTTATTTAGCAATCATTCAACTTCTATCCGAGTTTTGAAAGTACAAAAACAAATACTCTATATTGGAAATTCCCTGCTGTTTATTTTGAGTCTAGAATAGACTAGATCATATTCATATCAGAAAACAATCGCTCGCACAAACCATGATTTCGACTGATTCAGTTGGAAGTGGAGCAAAGTCAGCAGTAAAAAAGTGGTGTTTTGCACCTGATCCATTTATTCATCGCCTGTATCGGATTCACGCCGAGATCAGACAGAAAACAAATTCATGCGATAGAACTACACCTGAAGATGAGGCGATTGATGGCAAATGATTCATTGGACAAAATTATTATATAAGATTTATAACAAATATCACAAAGTATCTGTGAAAGGAAGGCTGAGCTTGGAAGATGTAAGCGCCCGAGCTGAAAGATTGAAGAAAGCCCCTTTGGTTTTTACGCCATACAGTAATAATCAAGGTGATCTTGTTTTGGATGATTTGCTGATATCCAAATTATGTGTATCAATGCGTGATTTCTGTGATAGCGATAATGGAATTCCAGACGGATTGGTTGATAAAGCATATTGCTAGATATTAACAAAACTAACAAGTGAGCATCCAGGTTGGATCAACGATTTTTATTTTCAATTGACCTGCTCTACAGTTTGCGACTCTTGTAACGGAACGGTTGTAGACGCAAAATACAGAATTGCAGTTCTAGCGTTGCCCATCGATTGTTCACTTCAGAAGGCGCTGTTCAACCTAGAATCGACTATCAAAGCTCAGCAACTGCATTGTCGGACTCTGATTCATGGGGTTCAATGTAATGGTTTTGTACGAGATGCCTCAAATGTTATCTGCAACAAGTTCCTGAAGTGATTTGTTGCAACGTTGATTACAGGCAACGTTATCGTTTTAAGATACCTGACAATCTAGTTCTGCCCCGCCAAAACTATCGTTTCTATTATTCGTGAATTGTGAATTCAAACTCCATTACGTGCTATCGTAGCAGAGATGGAGTGGATTATGGTGACATATACCATCGGAATGAAGAAGGAGACATCGTTTTCGGATATCATACTTTTCTAACATTCAAAACTCCATCCGATCATCTATTGATAATATAGTTCGATTACTTACATGAAATCATAGTTATTGGTATTTTTCAGAATTGAACATCCTTTTTTGCTTTTGAATATTTTTGCTTTTGAATATTTTTAAATAATGCAAAGTGAAATCAAAAAGTTTTAATTCAATCAATTTTAATTAGGAAAAGCTTGCGAAGCCAATTTGGCAAATCAGCTGTATCATCCACGTCTTCATCATTCACTGAAACATCTTTCATCGAACTGAAACTTTGTGAAATCGGATTAGAAGAAGTTTCTTTGGTTGCGCCAATTGGTGAGATTGATTGAAAAACATCGGGACGAGTTTTTGCGGCGCCAGTGTAAGCTGTCGAATTCGCAATGAGTATTGTGGTATCATTTGCATGGAAGATTCTGCATGATCAGCCTCATCTGGAACGATATTTGGCGTAGCAGATGATTGATTTTCTGAGGATACTTTCTCTC